ATTTTTTTTCTATAGAATATTTTCTATTGAACATTTCAATAGAATCGGCCAAAAAACGATCAAAAGTCGAATAGAAATGCAATAGAATTATTTAGCGAATTAGCGAGGTTCTTCTATGAAATTTTTTCGTGCATGATCTTTTTTCACTTGAAGAGTTTGGTCATTTCAATACAATTAGTTGAGATATTACCATTTGTTCCCTACTTCCTTAAAAAACTGAATGTTACCTGATAGAAAATTCATAAAATGAAAATGAACGGAAGATTGCCGATAAATATTAATTTTGCATGATGAATTTTGATGCGAGTCCAACGGGCAAGAGAGAAAAGAAAATTCAGTTGGACGTATGGGCGAATGGAGACCACCTTTCATGTATACCTGGAAGATCCTCACAGCACCGACCCGAGACTTTTGGTACCTGGCTAAGGACCGTGATAAAGACATTTGACTTTTCACCGAGCAATTCGGCTACAAACTGCCAGTAGGTCAGATATTTTTATCAAACTTCAAAACGCGTGTGACAGCTCAAAAAACGGTTTAGGAATTTGGGAAAAAAATCACGTTCAATTCATTCCACGGACTATCAGTGGAAGGTCTGAGGGTGTAAAAATTTGAGACCCTGTTCAAAATGAGGGTGCGTAATTTACACCCATTTGGGTATCATATTTATTCATTCTTCAGTGGTTGGTTCCGTCTATTTTGATACTAGCTTTGAATGTTTCGTTTAGTGGGAATTTATTTGAGGGTTTCTCTTTTGCAACAACAGTTTGTTCTCACCATGTAACAGATCCTATTCTGTGCTCATTCATTGCGAGGTTTTATTCGTATTGTTCGCTTGGGGATGGAAAAATGTGAGTCTTCGTGGGGATTTCCGGGGTGATGGGTATCAATGTTCAGTCGTTTTGCTTGAATGAGGGGAGTTTATTGTATTTATTGTTGCGGAAATCGTGAATTTTGTTAGTTATGGGAAGGAAGGGGGATTGCAGGAATCAAGAGAAAAGGGTTTTGACCTTTTCCAGGGGGAATCCTCTCCTTTTTAGCTACGACCTGTGGCAGGTAGTTTAATTCTTTTTTCTTCGTCTCTCAAACCGTTTCTTTTCCTTCTGAAGCTCTTATTTTCCAAAATGTCTAAATTCCTCGTTATTGCATCTTTAATTATACTTAAGTATTCACGTACCGGAGTGGTATGCTACATTTACACCCATTTGGGTATCATATTTATTCATTCTTTAGTGGTTGGTTCCGTCTATTTTGGTACTAGCTTTGAATGTTTCGTTTAGTGGGAATTTATTTGAGGGTTTCTCTTTTGCAACAACAGTGTGTTCTCACCATGTAACAGATCCTATTCTGTGCTCATTCATTGCGAGGTTTTATTCGTTTTGTTCGCTTGGGGGTGGAAAAATGTGAGTCTTCGTGGGGATTTCCGGGGTGATTGGTATCAATGTTGAGTCATTTTGCTTGAATGACGCGAGTTTATTGTATTTATTGTTGTGGAAATCGTGAGTTTTGTGAGTTATGGGGTAGAGGGGGTTGGAGGATGAAGAAGAAGGTTTTTAACTCTTCTGGAGTAAATCCTCCTCTTCTTTTTAGGTTTGACTTGTGATAGGTAATTTGATCCTTTTTTCTTCCCTTCTCAAATAGTTTCTTCTCCCTCTGAGACTTTTATTTTCGTTAATGTCGAAAGTCCTCCTTATTGCGCCCTTGATAAAACTTTATTACTCACGTACCGGAATAAAACGCCATGTTTACACCCATTTGGGGTTTTTTTAATTCCTCTGAGCGTTCTGTTTTAAAGAAATTTACTTCAGTTTTTTTTTCAGAGCAACAGTTATTACAATGTAACGTATTGTGTTCTGCCCTCATTCATTGTGAGGTTTTACTCGTTTTGTTGTTTCGAGAGTAATTGGTATCGATGTTCAGTGATTCCATTCCGACAAACGACAGGTGCTATGGAAATTTCAATCAACGAATGGTATTTATGAGTTTTTTTTGTGACACCAATGATATTCTTGGAGAGTGAAATGGGAGATGTCTGTTGAATTTATCCGTGAAGTTGAGAGGCGTCGAGGAGTTCCAGAAAAACGTTCGAGATGTTATAGGAAATGGGCGAAATAGATTGGAAATATGGGGGTGAGAGGGGAATTGTGGCAGAGGAGTAGAAAACGTCGGGATTACAGGAATGCGACGATAGAATATACGTGGGGGGAGTCAACGGGAAAACCTTCTTGGGTTTCGGTATAAAGGAAACGTAGGGTATTTATTTATGTTGTGGATTCTGTAAACGGGAGGATATCATAAAAAGACGCATCGCACCAGCGAAATAGAGTGGAAGATGAGAGAAACTGAATGAAAAAGCGAGGGGGCATGCGGACGTAAAATGAATTGCAACAGGGGCTGTCTCAAGTGAGCGAGTAAATTAAAAACGAGGGGTCGGGGGGGAGGGGGCAATTTGAAATTGAATAAAAGGTCGAGGCAAAGAGTTCGTTTGTACTTTTCTTGTGGTAATCCAGTCGGGCATCCCCGGTGAAATACTGCTGTTTTTGTTTAATTTGTGAGTTTCATAAAATTGGATAATTGAATAAAGTTTTTGTACATTCAATGAGGGAGATGGAAATGAGGCGCTCAAGGCAAAAAGGCGAGTAATTAGCTGATCAGGAGAGAGAGAGGTGCAATGTGATGCTCTTTGTTGCGTGAATAATGAGCAAATGGAATATGGGAAGAGTGAACATTGATCATTTCCTGCATATTATATGTGCGGGTTGTATTGCTATTTTATGGATATTTTAATGATTTTTTCGATGCTACATTGTCAACATTTTTTTGAAATTTCATGGAGGATATTATAGTCAATCTCTTGAGAGTGACATTGATTAGGATTTAGGGAAAAAATGGTTATGAGATTTCAAGTTTTAAGTGGAATTCATGGAAATTCATGAGTTTTCAATGGAATTGAGATGGGAATTTCATAAATTGATTGAATTTTCAGTGGAACATGAATATTCAGAAACTAAATGACATAAATTCTCAATTTTTCCTGAATTCTCCGGATTTTTATGAATTTTTACAGAATAATTGAACCGAAAAATCAAGTATTTTATTGATTTTCAGATCATTTGAACGGAAAATCAATCTAATATTTGATTTTTCAATAACACGATGTCCTGAAAGTTCAGTGGAACTTGAACACGATGAAAAATTCCGAAATTTTTTAATGAATTTTTTTAATGAATATTCATTTTTCTTTGCTGAAGACCTTATAGAAAGGCAGCTTTTTCTGTTCGCAATAATTTGCAAAAAAATGGCTAAGAATTTCTCTTTCATCAAATATTCCAGAAAATGAGGAAAGACATGATCAGAATTCCAATAAAATTCTTGAGAGAAACGAGAGAAATTCAATGGAAATAAAAATGAAACTTTTAGTATTTGCTAGTGAGAGTGTTAGGTTCTTCTGTTGAATTTTTTCATACGTGAATAAATATTGGAGAAATTCAGAGAACTTAATTTATTCGTTAGAGCTAAAACATTCTTAGTTTTACATTGCCGGTATCTCGCAAGTCAATCTGTCCTTGCTAGGTTGATATTCACATTCATATTCATGTTCGCTGACGATTTTCGCAAAGACAACTTATTCAGCTGCAATAGTTTGCAAACAAATGGCTAAGGATTTCTTTTCCATAAAATATCCCAGAAAGTGAGGAAAGACATGATCAGTATTCCAATAAAGTTCTTGAGAGAACCGAGAGAAATTCAATGGGAATAAAAATGAAACTTTTAATATTTGCTAGTGAAAGCCTTAGTTTCTTCTATTCAGTTTTTCAATACGTGAATAAATATTGGACAAATTCAGAGAGCTTTGTTTATTCATTAGAGTGAAAGCATCTGTTTCATTTATTAAATTTTTCCATACGTGAATAAATATTTGACAAATTCAGAGAGCTTTGTTCATTCATTAGAGCTAAAACATTCTTAGTTTTATATTGTGGGTACCGCGTAAGTCGAACTGTCCTCGTTAGGTTTATATTCACATTCATATTCATGTTAGCTGAAGATTTTATCCAAAGACGACTTATTCAGTTGCAACAGTTTCTAAAAAAACATGGCCATGAATTTCGCTATAAAAATTTTCAATTAAATGAATAAAACAGAAAACGGAAATTCACCGACATTTTTTTCCATCAAATATCCAAGAATGAAGAAATAAATCAAGAGAATCTGAATAGACATAAAAATGAAAGTTTTTATATTTGCGAGCGAAAACGTTAGTTTCTGCTATTGAATTTTTTCTTACGTGAATAAATATTGGACAAATTCAGAGAGGTTTGTTTATTCATTAGAATGAGAGCATCAGTTTCATTTATTGAATTTTTCCATAAGTGAATAAATATTTGACAAATTCAGAGAGCTTTGTTCATTCATTAGAGCTAAAACATTCTTAGTTTTATATTGTGGGTACCTCGTAATCGATCTGTCGTCGCTGGGTTTATATTCGCATTCATATTCATGTTATCTGAAGATTTTATGCAAAGACAACTTATTCAGTTGCAATAGTGTCTAAAAAAACATGGCCACGAATTTCTCTAGGAAAATTTTAAATTGAATAAATAAAACAGAAAAACGAAAATCACCAAAATTTTTTTCTGTCAAATATCCAAGAATGAAGAAATAAATTGAGAGAATCTCAATAAAAACAAAAATGAAAGTTTTAATAATTGCGAGTGAAAGCGTTACTTTCTTCTATTGATTTTTTTCACGCGTAAATAACTATTGGCCAAAGTTACAGAGCGGAATAATTCAATAAAGTTTTTATACATTCAATGAGGAAGATGTAAATGAAGCGCGAAAGGAAAAAAATTTAGTAATTAGTTTACGAGAAAACGCAGAGGTGCAATGTGACGCTCTCTGACGCATGAATAATGAGCAACCGGAAACCCAAAAAAAGTAAACATGGATCATTCTACGTATATCATATGTGAGGGTTGTATTTATGTTTTCGTTTCCAGAGCAACTTGACAGAGGGTGAAGAGGATTTGCCTGAGGACACTCTCTCGTTGCTGTCTGTACTATTCGTCGGTGAGATTCCATACGAAATTTCATATTGCACAATAGCATAATACAGAATAATATAAAATTGATAAGAATGGTAAAAAAACCTAGTGAATCAGTCTTGCAGAGAGCTTATAAAAATAAAAATCCAAGCAAACGGAAATATGTGGAGGAAGAAAAATAGCTGTGCTCGGAGTGATGAAGGAATAAAAGAGCGTAAAATGACGTATAAATAAAAATGAGGTTGAACGATTGATCAATCGTCATTTGTGTTTTATTTTCTGCTCTACTGTTTCAGGCTTTCTCCTCTTTGTTCTCATATTCTTCTCAGTAGCTGGTAACGTATTGGTTTGCGTGGCGATATACACGGATCGTGGATTGAGAAGAATTGGAAATTTATTTCTCGCATCGCTGGCCATTGCTGATTTATTCGTTGGCTGTCTGGTTATGACATTTGCCGGTGTCAACGATCTACTCGGCTACTGGATGTTTGGTCCACGTTTCTGTGACACATGGATTGCATTTGATGTCATGTGCAGCACTGCCTCAATCCTCAATCTGTGCGCAATATCACTGGATCGTTACATACACATCAAAGATCCACTCAGGTATTGTTATTGAAACTTGGGGTATTATCTAAGCCGCGAGGGAGATTAGCTTGAGCAGTTTCCGGGACTGGATTTTAGCCAGTCACAGCGCAGTATTCAAGGGCACGATACTCTTTTGTTATCAATTTTTTTCGGAAATTGCACACTAGCTTCTGGAAATTGCATCTGATAATTGCATAGTAGCTATTCATTTATTTCTAAACAATTGGATGTTTTGCTGGAAGAAGCGCTCTGCTTGGCGAAAATCCAGTCCCGGAAAATTCTCCGCCGAATACCCCTCGACCTTCAAAATTAATCGGAATATTTCCCTCAAGCTTCCCTGCAAACAAACAAAAGTGTCAAGTTTTGCAGAAAAACCCTGTAAAACTTGACACTTTCATTTGTCTCCAACGAAGCTATCGAAAAATATAACGATAATTTTGAAGGTCTCGGAGTATTATAACTGATTATTTTTCCCAATCGGATTTCGACCAATCAGAGCGCAGTATTTGCGCAGTATTTGAAGTATTTGAAGCTACCCGACAGTTTTATTTCGGATACTACACTGATGGTAATGGTAAAACATTACTTGTTCAATCTTTATTTTTGAGGCACAAATTTGTTACGATTCCGAACAAATGATTTTTGTGGTGGACAAACTCGACTTCAGCACGGTGTGACATAAAATATTATTGATCACTCGGGCATAAATTTGTGCCCTTGTACTCTAATCTATTATATAGAAAAGACTCGTAATTTTCGAAAACTGCCAAGTTTAAATAATAAAATCATTGTAAAATATCCGGAAACTTGGGGTCACATGGGCCTCAAATGATCGACAGAGGATCAAATGAAAGCTCTGATGTTCGACTACAAAAGTAGCAAAGCATTTCAGCCGAGAAAAAATAGCCAAAGTACTTGGATATCCTTAAGAACACCGCAAGAACCGTTTTCTCATAAGATGGAAAAATCCAGTTCGGGGGGACCCCCGGCTGGCCTATGCCTCGCCTGCTAGAAGCCCGCGGTTAATTATTCATCATCTCCTGAACTGTGTAGCACAGCTACTTAAAATTCGTTTTCAATACACGGAGAGAAATATTCAGTAAAAATTACGGAACAATTTACGTAATTCGCGATATGGAATCGTTTCCCGGCAATTTTTATAGGAATGAAAGAGAAGAAATCTGAAATTTTCAGTGAATTTTAAGGTTCATCACCGAACAAAGTACGAAATTGTCACGTAATTTTTCCCGAAGAAGTAAAATCTTACAGAAACTTCCCCACTTATTATGTCTCTAAAATCAAAATGTCTTGAACGTTCACCAATTTGTATGAAGCTGATGAGTTATTTCTACGTTCCGTTCCATAAAATGTCTCAATCGTTGGGGAAAAATTACGGAACGACTTGTCCCCACAGCTACGAGTCATCAGGCGGGTGGTTAATTTTTACGGAACAAATCGTAGAATTTACCTGGCGATTCGTACAATATCAGTTTCGACTCACACTTTTTATTGAATTTTACTTCGCTCGCGGATTACGTTTCAAAACGTATTTTTTACGTTTTTTTTCTGGTAATTTTCAATGAATTTTTCTCTCCGTGCACCGGGGAATATTATAAACCTGATCCATGAAAAACACAGGAACAATCGTAAGAAAAACATGTTTTCTAGGCATATACCTTACCCTAACTCATTTATCATTAATTAGTCATTGGTGTGTAACACTCGATGACAACTGGATTAACGACGGTTTAATCCAAAATTCATGGGTGAATTGAGCGAGAGACATTGGTCATTGTGAATTGTGTGCAGATACGGTCGGTGGGTTACGAGGAGAGTTGCTGTTGCTAGTATTGCTACAGTTTGGCTTCTCGCCGGGACTGTGTCATTCGTTCCAATCAGCCTGGGACTGCACAGAAGTGAGGAGTCGAAAAATCCACCACCAACGTACAACGATGGTACACAGGTAATTGGAGTATTCTTCTTCCTCGGGGTGGAACATTCAAATTTTCCGGGGGATTTAATGGAGAGGCTTTTTCCTAGTTTGGAACTCCCGTCTCGGGAGAACTTGCTTGAGTATTTCATGGAAAATTCATCACGGGATTCATTCCTTCTTCAGCTCTGTTCGGAAATTACGGAATTTTGATGAACATTGTCGGATGATAATTTCATGAAATTACTCGATTCGAGGAAATTGTTTTACGGCTCTGTTGACTATTATTCTTCTCGCCTGATTATTATTCGTCTAATTGCTTTTCGTTCTTTAGTTGTCTTCATTCAACACGTTGAGGAGTAGAATTAAATGAAAAAATGAACGTATTTAAATTTATTCGAGGGATTAATTCGTTTTATGTTTCAATAATTAAATATTCGATTTATTTTCAATAATTTCGGTTTTTTTTCAATTTTTTTATATCCTATCGCCGCTAATTTTGGTGGATCTAAAGCTTAAATTCCGAGTTTTATATTGTGTGTCCCTTGCAAGTGAATATGCTCCCGTTGAATTTATCCCCACATTCATATCCATATTCATTTGCTGTATTTTTAACAGAATGAAGACAACAGATAATAATTCTTTCATGCACTTTAATCTCTTGCAATTGTTTGTAAGAAAAAATCTCAAAAGAATCTTTTAAATTTTTTCAATGAAACAGAAGAAAATGAAGAACACAACATCTATAACTATAATAGATTTTTTATGAAGTTCCAAGGTCGTTGAACGAGTAATTTCATGCACTTGGACGAACCAGACTCCATTCATACGCTATTACCGCTAATTCTGTTTAATCTAAAGTAGAAAAATCGTAGTTTTCTATTACGGGGACCTCGTAAGGATGTTCCGCTTAGTTTACCCTCACATTCACATTCATATTCATTTGCTAAATATTTAACAGCAAGAAGACGATAGATAATGACCCTTTTATGCACCTTAATCTCTTGCAATTATTTCTGAAAAAAAATGTCAAGAGGACCTATTAAATTTTTTCAATGAAATATCAATGAAAATAAACAACAAAACACCTACAATTTCGATTTTTATGAAGTTCCAATAGAACAATTCTCACGGACCCAAAAAAAAACCAAACCCGATTAATTTCCATTTGAATAACCCAAGGAATATCCAACCTGTGCTCTGGATCTATCGCCAACGTACGCCGTTGTATCATCATGCATATCATTCTACGTACCCTGTATCGTCATGATAAGTATCTACTGCAGACTGTACTGCTACGCTCAAAAACACGTTAAGAGTATAAGAGCAGTGACAAAACTCCCGCAGCCATCATCAATTGGAAAGAGTTTTCGTGCCAAGAGTACGCGTAAATTACAACAGGCTAAAGCTAAACCACCGGCTAAGGCTAAGCCAACGAGTCCATATCACGTGTCTGATCACAAAGCAGCTATAACTGTTGGTGTTATAATGGGTGTATTTCTCATATGCTGGGTGCCATTCTTCTGCGTCAACATTGTCGCTGCATTCTGCAAAACTTGCATACCAGATCGAGCATTTCAGGTATGAATTATTGATTCGTTAATGCACACTGACAGAAAAAAAAGCTCTGTCAAGAGAATTTTGTTTGAACCAACTGTCGTTTGGTTGTTAATTTACCAATAAATATGATTTTACAGGGAACACCAGGTTTCTCTTCTTGAGATATAGTCCATTATATATAGAAGGGATTGGACTTTTCTAGAATTCACATTTTTTTATTTGTCGCGATAATGAGACAAATAAAAGTATAAGAAGTAAAGTATGGAAATGTTTGGGGCACTCGCCTTCCGCAGGTCAAAAAACACTTTTTCGTGTCACGGGACCTGAAAAACCCCATTTTCGAAATTGGCGTTTTTTAGCCTTGACACGAAAATTAATATACACACCTCGCCGTGGAAAATATATCACCCTCCCCCATGGGCTTGCCATCCTCGCCTTCGGCTCGGAAGGCAATCTTGCACGTGGGGGACGGTGATCTGTTTTCCAAGGCTCGGGCATGTAATGTACTATTACGCACTTGTATCAAAATATCCTATTTTGACACTGCTGCTACCCTAGTAGAAATTTTATGGCGCAAAAACGTCACGGCATTCAATGTTATCATCGGCACTTTGGCTTAATGTCGCAGAATTTCGATCAATTTCTACTAGGGTACGTTCAGCTCTAGCCGGAAAGTGTCTTTTCGTTTACTCGTAAGCGAAAACTCTTTTTTTTACTTGTAAACGGAAAAGGCACAGTTCGGCCACTCGCTGAACGTAACATTACTGTCAAAAAATAATGGTCGACACATGTGAGACGGGAATTTTCAGCTCGTGTGATTGGCAGCAACTTCACACTCGTGAAAATTCCGCCTCACTCATATCGAAATATACTATTTCATCACTTGTGTGTAAAGTGATACGTTACGCACGCACCGCGTTAAAAAAAAATAGGACTCCCATTTTTGTGGTCAAGGCAAGTAAATGCCTGTCCACAAGAAATCATTGATATTCGCTGTAAAATCTTATGTATTTGAAATTTGGTCAAGTACGTAATATTTTTTCTAAGAGAAGAACATCCCAATAAAATTAATTTTCCGTACGGTGTCTCACAATTTCTCAAAACTCGAAAATCACTACACGGAGAGAAATTTTTTAGAAAAATTCTAGTGCTAGCACGGGAAAAGAGGCGCAAAGTGACGGCCAGGAAAAAATTCCAGTGCCGGAACTAGAAATTTTATTGGGGAAAACGCGAATTTTTCCCTGTATTTCTGTGAAAGTTAAACAGAAATCCCCAGAAATTTTACCTCAACAGCACTAGAATGTTTCACAGCGGGTGGATTGTGATTTTTTTCAGTACTCGTACTAGAATTTTTCAAGAAAATTTCTCTTTTCTTGAATTTTTCTTGCGTAGGCCGTTGCGATCGGGCTTTTCACTCGTGTATGGTTGGCCAGTCCTCGCCTTTGGCTCGGACGCCAACCATACGAGTGAAAAAAACCCCATGTGCATTTCCCCTCCGAAATGTACGATTTTTCTATGAGCGCGTGCTGTATTCCTCAATGATTAAATATTCTTTTCTTCATCCGTTTTTACGTCGCTCCGAGGAGATTTTTCACGTGCACTTTGCGTAGTACATTTTCCCTTCATTTTTCATCTTCATTTGCATGTGTGATGCGCGTTGATCCAAAGTACATAATTTATGGAGACCGCTCTCTAATATTCTGAGAAAATTTTGCTTGACGGATCCAGTGAGCACCCAAAGGGATTGTCTAAAAAGGGTAAAGGGTAAACGTCGAGTTAAAATCCATAGTCCTATGTAAACTAGAGTTGTTACTCTGGCGAAGAGAAAAAAACCTCTGCCCCAATTAAATGTTTTTCAATCAAGCCCTCGGCCCCAGGCGATTGTGAATAATTTTCATCGACCTATCAGCGTGAATTTTGCATCCTTCTCCCCGCCCGAATATTTATTCAAACTGGATTTCTCAATCTCATTCATGTCCCTCATCGTAATATATATTCATTGGCCCCCCACGTTATTCCACGCGGTTATTTTCACGAGAGAAAAAGCCAATGTAGGAAAAAGTGGTAATAAAAATATTGCTTTTTCCGTAAATGTAGAGGCGTGAAAACTCCCCGTCCTGAGTTCTATCGAGCGCAGTTCCTATTCCAACTTATTTCACTCATCCAAAGTTGGAAATAAAAAAATAGCATTACTAATGCCTTGGGATCCTGGGGCAGTGTTGAACAGATACATTTTTCATTCGACAGGTGCTCACCTGGCTTGGCTACAGTAACTCGGCCTTTAATCCAATAATCTACAGTATTTTCAACACTGAATTTCGTCAGGCATTCAAGCGAATCTTGACAAAGGGTACAAGAGCCAGAGGTAATCAACCATCCACCAGTGAATGCGGTGAATTTCGTTCTGTTATCGTGCAAAAACGTAACGGTTCAATAGTAGAGTGCAACATCAGTCCAAGGTCGAGTGCTGACAGTTGTCAAGTTGGTCTTGGACGACAGCATCGTGACACTATTGTAAGTTCAATATGAATTAGCACGGTAGGCTCATTAAAAATGGGAAATATACGACACGTACGAGAAAATTTCCTAGAAAAATCTAGTACATTTGCTAAACGATTCTATTTGACTTTCGCGGAAGTAAATGTTCAATGGAAAATATTTTATAGGAAGAAACAATCTAGCTTGATCTTTCTATACGAATTAGTCAGTTCAAAAGTTAAATTTTTTATTTGGAGATTTTAATTTAAAAAACATCGGCGGCAATGTCCCGATCACTATTGTTTTTTACATAAAATATTTTATCTGCAATTGAAAAAAAGAGTTCTAATGAATTTTCGCTAATTAATATATTATTTGAAAGACAATGGATTAATGCATTTTTCAACAAACTTCGCACTAAAACAATTCTCTGAACACCTTCGGAATTTTTTAATGGGATCTAAAAGAATGTTCAGTATAAATCCAATAGAATTCTCCAGCGAATGCGAATCTTCTAGATTTTTCCATGACATTTTATCGCATGTGGATAGGTGTAAAGAGAGAGAGAAAGAGAGTGACAACAGTGGAGGAGTTTATCATAATTGGCCAGTTTGGACCATTTCAACGACAATCATCATAATGAAAGAAGATTAAATACCAAAGTTAAATGAATGAGGCATATCCAGAATAACGGACTGTGTGATAGATATAACAATTACTTGGATGGCACATTATCTCATGAACTTTCCAAAGAAAATTCATCAAATTGAAGATTATACTTGCACGAATAATGTAAACCATCAATCTAGTTAATTAAAATGAATGAAGAACGTTAATGGAATTAATAATCATCCAGATTATTTACTCGACGCACACGGGTTTCACTCGATATATCATTTTTATCATCCTGTAAATGATCATTTATTTATTTTTCTATTAAAATTATCGACGAGAAAATGTTGAAAAAAAAAAATTCACTAACAATGATCCACATGGTGATCGATCTATATAGAATAGAGGTGAAATGGTTGACACATTTCGCGAGAAACCAGCATGATAATTAAATAAAACAAAACCAAATATACATATTAGCATCGTTACGATAATCGATATTAAATGAATCGTGTAATTATTATAAAAACTCAGAACTCCATTAATCTCGTTTTATTTATGATGTAAATATTCATTATGTACTCTAGTCAAATAAGTCAATAATGTATAAATATTGAAGAAGAAAAAAACGGGTAATTAATTTTCACGTAGAAACAAAATGACAAATGTTTTAATGAATTTCATTCCTCAAGTCCATTTATATTTAATGATCCAACAGGGGACGTAATCAAGATTGTTTGGCTGTCTGTCTTGATGAAAGACAAAAAAACGTGTTATTCTTATGGGAAATGCGTTACTCCCGTGTTATTCATATGGGGAAGAACGAGGCTCTTGGGGGCTTTTTAGGATTAAGATAGAATGCTGAAATTTTAAGAGGATGTTTTCTTATTTGTCTCGAATCTTTGGAGGGGGCGGCACGTCAAAAATTCCGTAACGGATGCATCCCTAATCGGAGTTTATTTCTAGGTCTTTTTTATCCAAGTTAAACTTTCCGGAGATTTTTAAGAATTATTAATTTCTCTTCGACGTTTTCCTCCGTATATACTCTAGTCAAATAAGTCAACAATATATAAATATTAGGGTGTCCGTGAGGGTACCCGTTAGAGTACCGAAAAGACTCGAAATAAATGAAAAAAATCCTCTCAAAATTTCAGCTCTCTATCTCAATTCTAAAAAGGCCCCCCAGAGTCTTGTCTTCTCCCATAACAATAGCAGGGAATTTTCATCGAAAATTCAAATCTTTTCGCCCCCGTTCCTGTTATGCAACTAAAAATTTTATAATCATGGGAAATTACTGAGTAAATGAACTACTTTTCACGGAAATTTTTCGTTTTTCATTCGCATCATACAATAGTGCAATTATTCTTATCGAAAATGACTTGTTATGCTTCTGAAAAACGTGTTATTCTTATGGGGAAAAATAAGGTTCTTTAAGGTCTTTTAGGATTGAGATAGAATGCTGAAATGTTAAGAGGATGTTTTCTTATTTGCTTCGAGCGTTTTGAAGGGACGACACGTCAAAAATTCCGGAACGGACGCATTCCTAAACGGAATTCATTTTTAGGTCTTTTTCACCCAAGTTCAGCTTTCTGGAGATTTTTAAGAATTAATAATTTCTCTCCACCGTTTCCCTCCGTGAATTCTAGTCACATAAATCAATAATATGTAAACATTAGAGTGCCCGTTAGGACACCCTTCCCGGAATTGTAGATCTGCCGCCCCCTCAAACAACTCGCAATAAATTTAAAAGATCCTCTCAAAATTGCAGCTCTCGATCTCAATTCTAAAACGCCCCCCAAGAGCCTTATTTTTTCCCGCAACAATAGCACGGAATTTTTGGTAGTAATATCCCAAGAGCTTCAAAATTATCGGGTATTTCCCGATAGCTTCGTTGTAAACAAATGCGGGTTTCGCGCAAGCGATCGGAATTTTTTCATCTGTAAAATTTGGCACTATCGTTTGTTGGCAGGGGAGCTTGAGGGAAGTATCCGATTAATTTTGGGGCTCGAGGAGTATTTGTCGGGTTATTTTCCACATCACCATTTCGATAAATTGAATTGTGGTATTCGGTGTAATCGTGGTACAATCGATAATTATTAGATATTTTGCCTGCCAACGGGAAAATTACCGAACGGCGGGAAATTATCAGTAGAAAATTTGTATCTATTCCACCCGCCCCTGTTTGCAACTAACAATTTTATAATCATGGGAAATTACTGAGTAAATAATCTACTTTTAACAGAAATTTTTCGATTTTCATTCAGCGTTACGGCGTTACGCATCGTACAATAGTGCAATTATTCTTATGCGTAAAACGTGTTATTTTTCTGAAAAACGTGTTGTTCCCGTGTTATTCTTACGGGGAAACACAAGGCTCTTGGGGGCCTTTTAGAATTCAGATAGAATGCTGAAATTTTAAGAGGATGTTTTCTTATTTATTTCGAGGGTGCCCCTAATGCCCTTGCGAACGGGCACACGGAGAGAAATATTCAAGAAAAATTACGGAACATTTCACGTAATCCGCAAGCGAGAATCGTTTTCAGTGAATTTCTATAGGAATATAAGAGAATAAATCTGCAACGTTCAGTAAATTTTCGGGTTTGTCACCGAAAAAATACGAAAACGTCACGTAATTTTTCTGGAAGTTGTAAAATCTAAGAGAAATTGCAAGACTTATTATGCCTCAGAACATGAAAATTCTTGGATGTTTAAGAATTTTTACGAAAAGTTCCGGAAAAATTACGGAACGTGTTGTTATAATCTCCCCCTCACAGTGACTCATGGCTAGGCGTGAGGCGTCGGACGGATGAGTAATTTTTACGGAACAGATCGTAGAATTTACGTGACGATTGACACTTTTTATTGAATTTTACTTCGCTCCCAGATTACGTTTCGAAACGTAATTTTTACGTCTTGTTTCTGGTAATTTTGATTGAATATTTCTCTCCGTGCACCTAATAACCATTGAAAAAGGAAAACTGGCAATTAATTTTCAACTCTAACAGAGAGCATAATCAAGACGGTATGGCTTCCCTCTCCACATTGTTCGCCAAAGGTTATCAGTCTCCAATTACACTCAAACGATTTACCATAAAGCCCCACGTCTTTGTCGATTAGTTGATTCCTCAACTGTAAACGGAATTGTTGGATTAATGCACTTGGTATGCAGGTAGGTATGCTCATGATTTTGATACGATAATGCCAGCCTTGGCAAAGGCATAACTAAATTCCATGGGATTTCGCTTCATCAGCACTGGTTACTCTCGCCGGCTTCTACACCATTGAGTGGCCACTTTACCCAGTTTACACTCGAGTAGAAGTTCAAACTTTCCAAACTCGTCGAGTAATTGTTTAACGTTTTATCGAGTTTGCTTCTTGACACGAAGAAGATGAGAATTCATTCGTGAATTAAAACCGAAAGTGTCCCGTGACTCCGAACGACTCTCTCATGTCCCCAGGGTGTCGTCAGTGGAAATGATCTTACGATGGGGTTTTTTTTATGCTCTTTATCTCTCTGAATCGACTATTTGAGATATTTCGGGAACAATAGTCGGAGAAGCTTTTTCATTTCGATAGGATCTCCCGTAACTTGCGGATTTTGACAGCTGGGCAGCGCCCGCTGGGACAGCCCGCACGTAAAAACTTTGGCAATTGTAATAAAGTTGGGTAAATAGAGTTTCTAACTGGGAGACGTGAGCAACAAAAAAAAAAACTCTGAATTTCCCTCGCGGGAAGTGGAACGCTCTTTTTTGATATAAGTTAATTACCCTGGATTAATTACGGGTGTCAGTGGGTGCGCGTCACATAATGCTCTTGACATTCCGAAATTCATCTGCATAATTCGTGGACACAAGCGTCAATCAGACTGGAATCGTTGATCCTTCAATTAGTCGAGTTGACACTGTCGTTCCATTAGGGATTGATTGATGTAATTATCATAAATTATTTGAAATCAAGTGTTTGCGGGGGCTGCAATAGGGGGCACCACCTCTCGGTCTATTTACGTTTCGCCACTTCGATAGCTCGAAGCAACAGCCGCTCTGGCCGACACGACACTCGATAATGTCGAGGTCTAACCTCAAAAACTTTATCATAATTGCAATCACAACAAGTGAATGAAAAAGCGACGCGGCAAGACTTATTGTTGTCAAATTTGATGGAAATTGTTGATCGTTGGGAGGGATTTTTCAGGGGGTTTACGCAGTGAAGAATGTCGAGTGCATTGAATAATGTGGATTTAGTTTATCTGTGAGAGAAATAATGGGGGATATACGTGCAGGACTGGAGGATATAAAGCTCGATGAGGCACTATTTGCCGATGTTAAATACTACGTCAGTGGCGAGGCTGAACCTAAGGTACTTTATTTCGTTATTTACGGTTGTAATTGGGAAAATATCAACCACCATCATACCCCATATCCATTGAAAATAATTCACCAGTCTTTGGGGTTAAATGTCGTGGGATTGGCTGTCATAGTTATTTAAGCAGAGATGGTTCTGCTAAATCTAACCCCAAGGGGCTTTATTTCATGACTCGTTTTGATAATTAACATAATTAAGAATGTTGTGCATGCTGGGGGTACTCCACGAACATTTGAAATTTCTTTGATTTAGTTTGGGAAATTCTTTGTGATTATCGGTGATAATTATCTCGGAAAAATTTCATAATGATGAGATCCCAAGAGATTTTATTCTTTAATTTATAAGTGTAATTGAGCCAATTAAAGCAGCACTCAATAATTCATGAACTTTGAAAATATTTTTTCAATTTTTCAAAGACCTTTTGTAGAATGGTCTGTGATGATTGTTTAATTAGATATATTTTTGCAAGAAACAACTCCAAGGTTTTATTTTTATGAATTATTTAGGTAATTAACATACTTAAAAGTATTATGCATACAAGGGGGACTCCACGAACATTTGACATTTCTACGATTTAGTTTGGGACATTCTTTGTGATTATCGGTGATAATTATCTCAGAAAAATTTCATAAAGGTGGGATCCCAATAGATTTTATTCTTTAATTTACCAGAGTAATTGAGCCAATTAAATGAGCACTTAATACTACATGACGGTTTAATACATTTCTTTAGTTTTTCAAAGACATTTTCCAGAATATTTTATCAACGTCCTACCCCAAGGTGTTTTCATGGTTTATTGTGATCAACACAATTAACAATAACACAATTAATTATTAACAATTAAATTAACACGATTAAAAATATAATGAACACTCCCTGTCCGCCCTTGAGTGCAAATTTTATGAGAATGCAATCTCAAGACATTTTTTCCCAAATTTACCTAAATGATCGATCCAATTGACAGTACAATAAGATTAGTTCCAACACTCTCCAAAACAATCTCCGAAAATTCATTGGAAATATCAAATCACAATCTGAGCACAAGGTGTTGTATCCCATTATTCATCTACACAGTCAGCAAAATAAAAACAATGACGAATACTCCATAACTACTCGATTCGATGAAATTTAGGGGATTTTTGAGGGTATGAGAATCGAACAATCACATGTACAAACGTTTTTCAAGCGCGAAAGAGTTTATACACTACTTTAAACCATTCGTAAACCCCTATATTCGCCTAAAGCGTCTCTTCCGCTGGCGGATCTTTCGCTACTGTCAGCTGCACGAAATAATCTCTGATAACTATTGAATTAGAAATATTGCTTAAAGTTTTCGCGCGACATATCGGCCGTCACAATTCAGCTAGACACTTGACGCAGTTAAAATTACGCTACAATTGTCCCTTCACAACTACATCCACCGTCTCCTCAATCAATTTCCCGAAATTCACTGCAATCACTCGTGACACGCATTATTAAAAATATTCCTTAAGGTGAAACGGAATCCCTTTATCTATATAAATTTTTACAACTATGTTTCCTCCTGCAGTCATTATTTTTTATTTATGAAACTACTTCAATGACTCAACAATGCGATGATCGAGCCGATAAAGTAGTTTCATAGATGAAACATAGTTGTAGGAGAAAACCCAATTCTAAAAGTTCATATAGACGCAGGGGTTCTGTTTCCTCTTGAAGACTGTTCACCTGTATCTTGCGATTTCCATGCAGATTGTGGCCCTGCTGCGAAAAGTAGCTTCAGACATTTATCAAGGAGAAGAGCTATTGAATCAGAAACATTTCATTAAAATTTTCGTCCGACATATCGATCCTCACAATTCAGCTAGACACTTGACGTAGTTAAAATTACGCTTAACTTATTTCTTTATAACCACATGCACCGTCTTGTCAATTAATTTCCCGTAACTCCCTGCAATCACTCATGACACGCGTTATCAAAAATATTCCTTAAGGTGAAACCGATTCCCTGTGTCTACATGAATATTTAGAATTGTCTTTTCTCGTGCAATTATTATTTTTCATTTACGAAACTACTTCATTGACTCAACAATGCGATGATCGAGCCGATAAAGTAGTTTCAGACATTTATCAAGCAAAAGAGCTATTGAATCAGAAACATTTCATTAAAATTTTCGCCCGACATATCAATCCTCACAATTCAGCTAGACACTTGACGTAGTTAAAATTACGCTCAACTTATTTCTTTATAACCACATGCACCGTCTCGTCAATTAATTTCCCGTAACTCCCTGCAATCACTCATGACACGCATTATCAAAAATATTCCTTAAGGTGAAACCGATTCCCTGTGTCTACATGAATATTTAGAATTGTCTTTTCTCGTGCAATTATTATTTTTCATTTACGAAACTACTTCATTGACTCAACAATGCAGTGGTTAAGCCGATGAAGCAGTTTCATAGATGAAAAATAATAGTTGTAGAAGAAAACCCAATTCTAAAAGTTTATATAGATACAGGGGTTCTGTTTCCTGCAGATTGTCGCCCTGCTGCGAAAAGTAGCTTCAGACATGTATCAAACAAAAGAGCTATTGAATCAGAAACATTCATTAAAATTTTCGCCCGACATATCGATCCTCACATTTCAGCTAAACACTTGACGCAGTTAAAATTTCATTTAAATCATCCCTCTACAACCACATGCACCATCTCCTCAATCAGTTGCCCGAAACTACCTGCAATCACCTACGACACGCAAAATTAAAAATATTCCATAAAAAATGTTCACCTGTATCTCATGATTTTCATGCAGATCGTCGCGCTGCTGCAAAAAGGTGGCGCAGAGCGCTGCAACTACTTCAGTAGCTTCGTAACCCACCTAATAGCTGGTTACGAAGCCCTAGAAACCGACATTTGTCAAGCAAAAGAGCTATACGAGATACCAGCAGTAACCCACGAGTGGGTTTACTCCTCGGCGAAATGCAAAAAGCTCCTCCCAACGAAGTACTTTTCCGCCGAGGAGAATCAATTATTCTCCACCGTGAGAGCCTGTATATCCCAGGTGAGCCAGGCTGATAGTAAAGCCCTGTGGGCGATGATATCTCTGCAAGGTGGGAAATGCCAGTTGCGTTTGGATCGTTTCTGTACACACTTGATCGTGACTAAAGCGAGTGGATCAAAGTTCGAGGCTGCCACGAGGCACCACATGAAGATTGTAACCCCCGATTGGGTGGTGGATTGTTCCAAGAAACGAGCTATTGTCTCAGAAGCTGAGTACCATCCAAGATTGCTGATTCATCCATCCCCAAACAGCTCGACAGCACTGATAACAGGTTTCATGGATAATACCGAGGACAATGGAGGAATTCAGGGTGATCAAGACCGCACAAAGGTCATGTTAGAGCAATTGAAGCAGAGAATGCCATGGAATCAGTCGAATCCCCCGGCCAATGTCCCACAATCATCCCCGTCACCTCAAGGAATTAATCAGCAGTTGCCAACGAGCTCTCCAAGCGTTCAACTCCCCCAGGAGACTCCACCCCCAGCGAATGCCGGGCAAATGCCTGCACAAGTCCAGAGACAATCGTCACAGCAGTTCCAACGGAACGTGACGACCCCCAGTGTGACGAATTATTCGGGTCCAGTTGTCTCGACGAATCAGAATCAAAATCAAACCACCCAGAGTCAGAACTGGCACTCGCAAATGCCTCAAGTCAAACAACAGGTTCAATCATCACAGCAACAACAGCAGCAGGAGCAATTGTCCCAGGGGCAGGCTCACATGCAGCCACAACTGCCACAAATGCCGAATCAAAATCCTCAACAGTCAATATCCCTCCAAGTTCCCAATCAGATGAATCAGCAGATGCAGATGCAAGTGAGTTTTCCCCAGCAGATGATGCCCCAGCAGTCGCCCCAGATGACGAGTCCCTCTCCAACCCAGGGGATTGCTCAGATGCAGCAGCAGATGATGCCACCTCAGCAGAATCTTCAGATGTCTCATCAGACGTTGATTCAACAGAAGCCCATGAATCAGCATCAAATGCCACAGCAGGTGAGCCAACAGTCCCAGTTGAGCCCACTACCTCAGTCACAGCAAGTGAACTCTCAACAGGGGTTGAATCAGGGGCACCATGGGCACATGCAGCAGCAGCAGCAGCAGCAGCAGATGCCCCAGCAGGTTCAGCCGATGGTCTCCCAGTCTCAAGTGATGCCCCAACAACCCCAGCTGATTCAGCAGTCTCAGAATTTGCAGCAGCCCCAGTCGATGCCCCAGCAGCCTCCACAGCCTGTGCTCCAACAGAATCAAATCTCCCAGCAGATCGGACACCAACAGCAATTGCCCAGTCAACAGGCTCACCAGCAGCAGCAGTTGCCCCAAGAGCAACGCCAACAGCTGATCCAACAGCTGCCCAATCAGCAGGCTCACCAGCAGCCATTGACTCCAGAGCAACGTCAGCAATTACTAGCCCTCCAGCAACAGCAGAAGATTCAACAGATCTCGCAGCAACTCCAGCAATCAGCGCCCCAGCCCTCTCAACAATTCATCATCAGAGATGGTCAGCTCCAGCAACAGCCATCGAATCAAATAATAAATCAGAGTCAACCGGGTTTCATAGTGAACCGAGAGGTCTGGCAGCAGCAGCAGTACCACCTGCAGCTCCAGAGACAACAGCAGCAGCAGCAATTGGGACAGCCGAGGCCTGGGGGTCAGTGGACCCAGCAGCCCCCGCAGCCCCCTCGTCAACTCATCCAACTGGACGCCCAAACCCACCAGCAACTCCAGCAGATGGACCCCCAGCAGCGAGCCCAGTTCATCCAGAAGATCCAGAAACAACGGAATCTCCTCCTTCAAAGACAGATGCAGAATCGAACGGCTCAGGGTCCACACGGGGGTGTCATCAGGGCTGCAGCCGCCCCAGGTCAACCTGGTCTCCAGTGGGTGCAGCAACGCCCCCAGATAATGGCCGGGGTGACCCCAGTCGCCGGACAAAAGCCCATCCACCCTGGGGTGCAACCGCCCGCATTAACCCCCATAAACTCCCCCAACCAAGTGATCGTTCCCTCGGGACAGGCTGTGCCAGTCCAGTCCCCTCAAACTCCAGGGCAACCCTTCCAGCAGGGACAACTGACCCCTCAACAAATCGCCCAGCTGCATCTCCAAAAACAACAACACCTGGCGAGACTCCAACAACTTCAACACCTCCAGCAGCAACAAGCACAACAGTCACCCCAGCAATCTCAACCCCAGGTTCAACCGCAGTCTCAACCGACCCCTCAACAATCCCCCCAACAACCACAACAAACGTCACAGCCTCAATCCCAATCGCAACCACAACCTCTGCTCCCGTCTCCCTCGCAGTCTCAACCGCAGCAGTCGCCAGTTCAATCAGAGGCGCCATTAACTCCCCTCCCTGGAAATTCTCAGATGCCACCTGACCAGCAGCTCGTGGTGAATGCTAAAACAAAAACAGCACTTGCGAATATGTTGACTAATCGTCTGCAGGGCGGAGCGGCGGAGGGAAGTGCCGCCGGCCAGTTGAGACTCATGACCGCTCAACATAGACCGCCACCACCGCCGTCTCAGGACCCAGCTCTCCTTGCGGCTTATCAGAGACGCTCCCTCGGGAATATCACTAATGGGGCACCTCAGGGGGGAATGAAAATGCAGTATGCACCGGCAATGGCACAGCCGAAGGCGCAATTCTACGGTCATAATCCCAATTTAAAACTTCCACCTGATTTATTCCTACTCGGCTGCATATTTGTCATTGTCGAGTATGAGATTCAGTACTCAATCGCTGAAGTTTCACACTGGAAACAAGTTATTGAACGACACGGGGGGGAGGTGGAGCCCCAGTATTGTGCACGAGCGACTCATGTTCTTGCAATCACGCAGAAGCATCCGATTGTGGTGCAAGCACTTAGGGAGGGAAAACGGTGTGTCAGTGCACACTGGCTGTCGGATGTTGTGAATAAACAGCAAGTTGTGCCGCCGTGGCATGCACTGCATTTTCCGATTCCTTATGGTTTGAATGAGATGCCTTGTTCCAAGCAGAATATCTCGTTCTCTGGGTTTGAGGGGGAGGAGAGGGCTAAAATCAAGGGAATGCTCGATGTTCTGGGGATCAAGTACACGACGTACTTTTCACATCATAATACATTGCTTATTACTCGGAGGCCCGATGGACCGAAGTATAAGAAGGCGAGGGAGTGGCAGATCAGTGTGGTCAATGCCCAGTGGTTGACTGATGTAATTTGCGGACAGGTCAGTGCTATTCATCAGATCGATGCACCCAAGTATCAGCAGTTCAATGCGAGTAATCCGTTTAGATTGGATTATTCGCTTGTTCCGCATCTCATGGCTGCCTGGAAGATGCCGATTAATATAACGCAGGAGTCGTATGACAAGGTCAAGCAGGTTGGGCAGGGACCGAATGCCATGAGAAAGCACAAGAAACCGAGGCTCGATGGACCACTGCTGAACAAGGATCCGCATTTGTTGGGGCTTGATGAGCCCGTTGTCATTAGCAATCCCGATCCACCGACACTTGAGAAACAGCCGAGGATCCTATTCTCCGGGACCAATCCAGCGAAATATGCCAAGAGGATCAGGGAACTGGGGGGCGCGTTGGCTGCCAGCTGGAGGGATGCCACTCATCTCGTTATGCCAGCACCGTTCAGAACTGTGAAACTACTCTGCTGTTTGTCCAGAGTTAAGTGCATTGTACATATTCAGTGGTTGCTCGATTGCTTCGGGAAGAACACGTTCATCGATGAGAGCTCGTACGTCCTCGGTGATCCGGAGTTCGAGAAGAATTTTCATTGTAATATTGAGAAGGCACTGGCTAGTCCCAATCGGGGGTCTGTACTTAAGGTGAATATTTCATGGCTTTTAAGGGGATTGGGGCGAAAGCAGCGCGAGGGCTTCTGCAGGCTTGATTAAAGTAGAATGTTGGAAAAAATGGAAATTTTGTGGAGTTATTAAATGTTGAAGAGTGAACGTATTAATGATTATGAAGGGTTTAAGTGGCCTTGCGGTCAATAAAGCTCATCCATTAAAGTGATGTTAAAATGATGTGATTAGGGTCGACGTTTCGATTTAAATTTCGATGGCCTCACCAGGACAACAATCCAATTTCAATTTATTTCTCAGTAAAATACATAAAAAATACAATCATCTAAGTGAAATTAACTGACCAGAGCGACAAGATAATGGAAAGTTAAAACTTAATTAATTTACATGATAGTGTAACGAGATAATTTTAAGAAATTGATGAACTTTATTGATCGCAAGGCCACTTAAAAGCTTTATAATTTTAGGGCCTGTTTAGTAGTTTTTTTTGGGGAGAGTGAAATTAGATTCGATTTGGGAAGAAAACAATGATAGCATTTTGTATTTCACTGAAAATTCACTGAAGTCTCAAGTTTTTGAGCAGCAGGAAGGACAGAATTTTCGAATTGACTTGAATATTCAACCAAAACATGAAACTTCAGTATCAAATTACTTTAACTTTTCAATTAATTGATAATTCAAGAATATATTTACCTGATTATTTGCTTTTTTTATTTTTATCGAATAATTGAGCTGAAATTCAAATTTTCCATTTATTTTTTCATAAAACTTCAAATTTTCAATGAGGAAATTCCTTGAAATTTCAGTGGAACTATCGTGTGATAACAATTTCCAAGAAGTGTATCAGAAATTGCAGTCAAAATTTTTAATAGTGAATCGTTTGTTGACACAATTTTTTTGAATAATAGTTTGATTAGAGTACTAAACCCTCCATTTGCCTAAATTTTTGATGTAAATCGAGAGAAAAAATGGGAAATGAGTTCAGAGAATTGTTCCAGTTTATTGATCGATGCAATTCAGTAGTGAAGTGGGAAAGAGCTTTAAGGCGACTTAGCTCCTGGTTGAGTTTTCGAGGGATATCTTTGAATCTGTGAGATAGCGAAATTTTCGTGCAGAGCTCTCTCAGTTCTTATTTTTCTGCTGAGAAGTTGCTTGAGGCAATTTTGCTATCTCTTTTCGATTCAGGAAGGTAATTCGACTTGGATCGTACTGATCTATTTAGCGATAAATAGATCTGTGCAGACCTTTGTACCTCTTATTTCGCCCCAAAAAAATTTTGTATCTCCTTTGAATTTCGAGAAAGCCTGCACTGAGCCTGCATTTTTTCCGTTACAAATTTAATTTTGTCCATTGCATGAATTTTCTCAGAGGATATTCCAATTTTTTGTTTAATTCGTTGAAAAATTCTTGGATATTGTTTAATTCATTTATCCCATCACTACTGAATTCATTCACGAACAATAAAAATATCCATTTTTTAAATTGAATAATGAATTAGAGAAATGCCTTGAACCAACTAATTTCAACCGAAAACTTCCATTAGTTGAGTAAAATTCGAGAGGAATAGTACCACTGAACGAGTAGTAACTGGACGAAATGTATGAGCTCCATTTGGGATTTATTTTGGGGTTGAATTTATTTTCAGGGGCTGACATTTTACGTGACACCAAGTGTAGTGCCATCGCCCACTGCATTTTCGGAAATAATTGAGAGTGCAGGTGGTACTATGGAGAAAAGCCGCCGTTCACTTGTGCAAATACAGGAAATGAATTCTGGGGGTAAATTGAACTACATCATCGTTACACAGGAGAACGATCTCCACTTGCTCGCTGATGTTCTACAAGCAAATATCAGTGAGTATTTCTTTCATCTATCCTCATCTCTTCGAGTTTATTCGTCCGATTGGAATGAATTTTCGTCATTAATTTGAACTTTTTTTTTTCAACAGACGTGTTCAGTGCAGAAGTTGTCCTGCGCTCTGTGGCCAGGCAAAACTTTCAAATCGATACCAATCAATTGTGAGCTGCTAATCAATCATTTGGTGGCACAATTTTCCACGTTCTGTGAACATTTGAGGGAGAGAATGAGGAAAAATACAGATCAATTCTGATTTATTTTCACAAAATGTAAAAATGAGTTGCTTATGTAAGGGGACAATAAAGATACATACTTTTCTGGTAATACATTAGGTAATTTACGAGAGTATACATCTATGCATTTGATTAATCAGTTTTAATCTTCCAAAATTAATAAATCAATTAATTCATCTAATTTGTTTTCATCATTTTTTTGGCCGTGACTATTCGCACCATTGCGTGAATCCCTCCCGTACACTCCATACACTCCACGCATGCGT